AAGTGCATTTATCATCTGTTTATTTAAGAAACAATACCGAGCGTGTGAAAGTCATTACAAACACCAGATTTAATGCACTACGTTTTTAAACAAAGGAACTTTACTTCTTTGTTAGAGGACTTTAATTTGTTTAGCTTTGCTTGCGGTGGCATACATCTGTTACCTTGAGGCTCAACCTCAGCTTTATGCTCTCTTACCACAATGTACACAGTGTCCGTAAGCCCTCTTTACGTATTGTTTGGAATATAAATCTCAGCAGAACTGACTGGGCTTCACTGGAATTTAAATGCAAAATGCCATTTAGCACATTCACTCTTTGTGTGTCTCTAATTCTTCTCCTTGCATGACTAGATCGTAAGCTCCTGCAACAGATCCTCTGTTGGTACATTACATCCTATTCCAGAAACTTCCCCCAACCCCAGCAATTGCATTTTCAGGGGCAAATAAGTAAGATCTTTATCTGAATCCAACAGTTTATACAATACTTTGTGGGTTGCGGCAAATTGTCTTGAAGCTGATATCCTGGGACTCCAAACAATACTGCTGGGATATCCTAAATTGCACAATTTACACAAGCAGGACACCACCAATCTGCCCTCACTACCACCTTTTTCTTTTAGGAAAGACAGGGCAAAGCAGGATGATGAGGAAGGATGGTGAGGAAGGAAACAGAATCAGGCAAGGTGAAAATTAAGCATTGTGTGTTTCTCCCTTCAAGATATCTGCCAGCTTATGGTGACCCCAAAATGTCATAGGATTTTCTTACCAAAAGAATATTCAGATGTAGTTTTGCCATTTTTTTCATCTGAAATATAGCCTACACCACCTGGTTTTCCATCGTGGTTTCCATTTCAAGTACTAACCAGGGCTGATCGTGTGAAGCTTCCAAGATCAGGCAGGATCTGGTGCCCTTAGGGTATTTAAAATTTGAAGACTAGATGAACCAGAACAGCAGTAGATAATACTAGGGAAAGTGATACATATGCACGTATTGCCCAAGGTGGATACATTTTGCCCAACTCAAGAAACTGTTTGCTCCTGAAATTAGTTCAAGAGTCCACATTGGAGAACATGCAATAACAACTTTCCCACTATCTTCCACTCGCCCGTCCCTCTATTAAGACAGAAAGACCGGATTTTACCTGGCTTTGCATGACAACCAAGTGCATTTTGGAGTGTTAATTACTGCTGTGGGTGTTTAAGGATTAGTGGATTTCTTCCTTTCCTTTAGAAATGGGATGGGAAAGCAGTCTTCCTACTTCATCACACTAGAGAACGAATCCACTTTAAATCCGGTGCTGCCTCCTGCAGAATTCTGGGGTTTGTAGTTTAGTGAAACTGTTAAAGGCTCCTCCCAAAACTACAAACCCCAGAATTTTGCAGGAGGCAGCACCGGATTTAAAGTGGATTCATTCTCTAGTGTGATGAAGTCCTTGGTCTTTTTCTCTTCTTGATTCAGCCGCCTATGCCCCATGATAAAGCTCTTCCAGAAGGCTGGGGAACCCTTAAGATTAGCATAAGAGATGGTGCAAGGTGAAAGGAAAATCTGCCGAAATCCATCCCTGGCACCTTTCTTCCTACAGAGAGCCACTTCCAGATCCCTTCTGTGATGAGAAGGTAGACTTCTACTCTTGGGTTGGTCAGTTTGGATCAGCACCTTCCTCATTTAGGTCACTAGACTGCATTTTTCCCCAGTTGTAAGGTAGACTCTGAAGTGTAGGGCACTTCAGTGTGTCCGTCACAAACTGAGGAAGGTACTAAAAAGCAATTATGCAAAACTCTGTTTTTTCCCCTTGCTTCTAAAGCTATTTTAAAATGACTCATCTGTTCTCGGTGTGCACTCTGGGCAGCACACATGAGCAATGAGTTATGTAAAGTCCTATGTGGCTTGACTGGTAGAACATAATGGATTTGGTATGAAGGCTCATTTCCTTGCCTTTGTTGTACGTGACGTCCCTTTGCTTCACTTAAAGATGTACTCTGCCTGCAAACTTTTTTAAAAATAGAAAAGACATCTCTCTAGAACTGAAGAGAAGTATCTTTTTTGTAAAGAAAAAGATCAAAACAGAATACCGTATCTCCTCATATATACATCGACCTCACGTGTAAGTTGAGGATTAGTTTTGCGGGGTCTTATTTATGGATTTTTATATGACCCATGGATAAGTTGAGGGTCATTTCATCTAGAGGGGGAAGTGTCCGTGTCTCTCCAGAGGGTTTGGCAACCACAATTCATTTGTGGTTCTTTTCTGGCATGTTTGCAAATTTTGGTTACAGATGAACAAAAACAGGACCCAAGTTTGGAATTCACACTGTCTTTATCAGGGAGTAACAATGTATGAGTATTGTAACAGCCCAGCAGCTGTTAGGAATTGTGGGAGTTGAAGTCCAAAACACTCATGTATAAATTGACCTCATGTATAGGCTGAGAGCAGGTTATGGGAATTATGAATTACATATGGAGAGGGGAAAGCACCAATGCTGGCTTGTTGGCCCCTGCCATCATTTACCCCAGGGATCCTCAAACTTTTTAAACAGAGGGCCAGGTCACAGTCCCTCAAATTGTTGGAGGGCCGGATTATAATGTGAAAAAAAAATGAATGAATTCCTATGAACACTGCACATATCTTATTTGTAGTGCAAAAGACACTTAAAAACAATACAATAATTAAAATCAAGACCAATTTTAACAAATATAAACTTATTAGTATTTCAATGGGAAGTATGGGCATACTTTTGGCTGATGAGATAGGATTGTTGTCGTTGTTATGTGCTTTCAAGTCGTTTCAGACTTAGGTTGACCCTGACGGAGGGCCGGGTAAATGACCTTGGAGGGCCGCATCCGGCCCCCGGGACTTAGTTTGAGGACCCCTGGTTTACCCACTCTGACATTCAAAAAGGAGAGAGTAGAGGAGATAGTTGCTTTTTATAGGTTCTGCTGGGACAGATTGAGCTCTTATATTTTGCCGCTTTATTCAGAGATGGCAATTGTTTCTTTTTTGATAAATGTTAAGGTATTGTACATGGATAAGTCAACCCTTGTGTTTTGAGTTGATTTTTTCACTAAAATTTCTGGGCTTGTACATAAATATGTATAGTATGCACATCTTTGCTGCCAAAGGAGTTATTTTTTAAAAATCCAAATAAAACGATCTCAATAATTCCTACTGTAGTTTTTTGTAGACAAATATTCAAATTAAGTGCATGTCATAGAAGTAAATAAAAAGACAGAGGCTGGCGAGGTTTGGTTCCAGGACCCTAAATCCAGGACCCCAAATCCTATTAAATACATTGGGAAGTATAATGCTCTTTTAAGGCTGGCACTTGGATATCTGTGCTGCTAAAATGATGTGATTAGCCAATGTTTTCAGCAAGGAGACGCTAATGATATATGTTGTTTTGACTTTGCTATGGTTTTATAATATTTTAATGTTTTTAATTGTATGTTATGGTCTTGGTACCAACTGTGAACCGCCCCGAGTCACCTGCAGGCTGAGAGGGACGGTATATAAATATAGTAAATAAATAAACAATAAATAAATAAAATGGGCATGGGCAAACACAGGCCTGCGGGCTGGATGGAGCCCTTTGGGTTCTTCCCCCTGACCCCCGTCTGCTTCGGCCTCCTTTTCAGTATGTGGGCACAGTGGCGGCCGCATCCCCAGACTGAGAGGAGGACTGAGGCAGAGATAAGTCTCTGCCAAGCACTCTGAAGAGCACTCGGCAGCAGTGTACTTGTCTCCCTCTTCTGGGCCCGCGGTAGGGTGGGCCACTGCCTTTCTAGGGCCCGGAGAAGAGCCGGGGAGAGAAACCTGCAGCTGCCAAGTGTGTGTTTCTCTCCCTACTCTGGCCCCAAGGAAGACTAGCTGCTGCCTTCCTGGGGCCTGAAGAAGAGCCGTCCCTTCCCTCTCCTGGCCCCAGCTCCTTCAAGACCCTGGCCCCATGTCTTCTGGCCCCACCCACACTCCCTCCCAGCCCAGCACTTGCAACCAGGCCAACATGGTGGCCCTAGTGCAAAAAAGTTTGCCCATGCATACGCTGAAATGTCTTGAAGTATTTCCTTTAGACTTCTCAAGCAGAGGTGGGAATTATGCAATCCTCCACTTGTTCTTGCACTTCAACTATCCTAACGAGGAATTGTGGTAGCTGCATTAACATCTGGAGCACCACATACATCCTCACCACTGTTTGAAACTATTCTGAATTTACATGGGGAATTGTGTTATCCATTTTTATATCAATACAGTTTTCAATGTAATTGTGTTTTGTTGCTGTTGAGTGCCACCAAGTCAACTTCAACATAAGGTGACCCTATGCTTTTACTAACAACCCTGCTCAGGTCTTGGAGACTCAGGAATGTGGCTTCCTTATTTATTATTATTTACATTATTTCTATCCCGCCCATTTCAGCCTGAAGGCAACTCAGGGCGGTATACACAGTCGGCACAATTCAATGCCGAAACAAAATACATACATTGATAAAGCAAAAACATTCAGTGCAATTAAACATAAACAACAGTGCATAATAACAATTTAAAAAGAAACTATGTCCTCTGTTCAAATCTTGGTCCTTGGTTGACTCTATCCACCCTCTTCCTCTTCCTGCTTCCTTCTACCTTGCCTATTATTATTGTGTTTTCTAGTGAGTCATATTATCTCATGATAAAGCAGAGCAGTCTCTACTTGGTCATTTTGGTGTCTAGGGATAATTCAGGCTTGATTTGCTCAAGGACCCATTTATTGCTCTTTTCAGCAGTCCATGTTATCTGCAGAACATCACATCTCAAATGGGATTATGTGCCCTTTACATGTTTTTCCCCTGTCCAACTTTCACAACCAAACACAGAAGAACAGTGGCATGGACAGTCCTGACTTTGATATTCAATAATATTGTAACTGTAAACCCTGTAATAGATAGAATATAGGAACATTGTATTCATGTTAAACCCAATAAATAAGTATTCTCATGTATAACCTCTCAATCTTGATTATCTTGACAGATTCATGAACCATCCAGCCCCAGCGAACAGTCGTTACAAACCCACTTGCTATGAACATGCTGCTAACTGTTACACTCATGCGGTAAGTTAACTGACTTCCTGGCAGCACAATCCATGTGACATCCAAATCATTAAAATTCCCGTCTGCATCAGATTTTATTGTGTTTTAAATCACCCCTGATTATATGCTAGTCCTGGAAGTGTCATTAATGTGGATTAAGCAGCTGACATAAATTTGTGTTCTGGGACTATAACAGTTCCGCTGGATTTTATTAATTTATAGAGTTTTCCTTCTTTTTGACCCATATTTAGCATGCAAAGGTTCTCTAAAGCCTCATGAAAGTAGGTCCCCCCAAAACGGATGATTGCTAAAATATTATTATGTCTCCTTCACAAATCTGCAGATATTTATTGCCTAAATGTTTTTAAAGCACTTTTTGAATGAAGAAGCAACTGTGTTTCATACTTCCCTATTAAGGTAGCCTTGCAAATATGACTACGACACCTATTAGAGTTTCAGTGGAGACCCATTTTCCCCATGATAATAACTCTTTCAGGAGTGAATTTCCCTTCCGAGGGGTAGATTTCTCTCACTACATGTTGCCTCACCCCGTTCTTAACTATGAGTCATTTGTAAGTCTAATGTTTAATGTACTGTAGCTTAACTCTTTTTTAAAAAAAAGGAATCACTTTCCTCCTCTGAGTAGAGTGGTGAAAGACAAGAGCATAGTCCATCCTGGAAGAACCTAAATGAAACACTGTCTTATTTATTTACTATATTTGTATGCCACCCTTCTCAGCCCTCAGGCAACAGAGGCAATGATGCCCAAGAACATCACAAAACATTTAAAACATTAATACATAGTATAAAACCAAACAAAAGTAATTTGCGGATCCTAATTAAAAACATTATCCATCTTGTCTTACTATTCTTTCTGCCACGGTGCTCCAAAATCTGTCCACGGCTTGTACATGAATCCATGAGTATGAATCCAGAATGCTGGTTAACACATACTGTGATTCAAAATGCCAGAGATCTTGGCCTACGTTTGGCATTGCTTCGATATTTTAGGCCATGCTTTTTTATGATAAAGGTAGTGGAGTGGTAAGAGTATTACTACAGAGAACCCATTGTTTGGGTGTCTCTACTTCTGCTTCATGGTCACTCATTCATATGGCTGTGTGTTTAACATTGTGACAGTAATGTTTTGAGTGCTTCTTTTGAAACTTAAATGTTCATACATACATAACCATGGAGGATATTCTCAGTATTTTTTTCTCTGTTGGGCCATGAACATCAGTAAATGCAAGACATTCATAGAATCATAGATTGGAAGAGACCTCATGGGTCATCCAATCCAACCCCCTGCCAAGAAGCAGGAAAATAGCATTCAAAGCACCCCTGACAGATGGCAATCCAGCCTCTGTTTCAAAACCTCCAAAGAAGGAGCCTCCCCCGCAATTAGATCTGTAAATGTTATTTTATTCCATTCTTACCCCCAAAGTACTAATATGAACAGTAGCCTGAAACACGTTTTCTTGACCTTCACTGAAAATTAACATATGCTCAAACATTTCACAATTATGAAAAAGCTGGTAGGAAGATAGCATTCTAACAGAATCTGCCTCTCTCTTCCATATTATACCATCTACCTCTGTGTGCCATCCTTATCACTAAAGCTCCTATCTACTTCAGTGCATTCTATTTTCACCTGTGTTTTATTGATCTTTTTATTGATCTTTTCCCCAAATAGATATTTAAATAAATATCTATTTGGAATTTGGAATACTTTTGGAATTGCTTCTAACATATACTTTAAGAGATGTATAATTTGCATGCTTTTTAAAATGTTGCTCCCCAATTAAAAGTCAGATGTGCTACATCAGATCTCAGAACGTTAGAATTCTTTTTCTAGCATCCAAAAAACTAGTCCATGCACTGACGTAACAACGTAATGCCACTGTGCTTCTTTTTGGGGTTGTTCTGAGCCAGCTGAGGTTTGCATGACCACCAAGTGAAACCTCTCAGACAAACAGTCAAATATGTACCAGCTTAAAAAAAAATTCTAGGGTATTAAAGGATGAGCAGCTTTTGCCTTATCAGACTAATGGATTGATTTTCAGCCATAATGCTGATGATTTATAGCATCTACTGTGTTTGCATACTGAAGAAAAGATACATATTGGAGCAAATACGTGTTGATCAGCTTATGGCTCATAGTCACCTGCTTATCTTGGACATGTGCTGTGGAAGGCACGATATTGAAGGTCTTCATCGGCTGTACTAGGTCTCCCAAAATATCAACCAGACAGTGTTGAATAACCCGACTAGTTATCAGGCTGGAAGATCACAACGCAGGCATTTTGAAGCTGCATATTTCAGGAGTTTTACTTTGTAGCTTAAATGCAAGGAGGTGTTTGTAGAATAGCTAACAGTGTCTCTCACCCTGTTGGTTGATCCCAACTAGAGTAAACTCATGCAATCAGTTGTTGAATGATAAATGAATTCCATTGATTCAACGGACCTACTTTAGCTAGCATTATTATCAGTGGGATTCAAATCAGTAGTAGTTAAGGCACTGAGACCCTTGAAAGTGTTTCCTACATATTTTTATTTATAATGCTTCTAATAACCCTGTAGGTAAAGTTTCTAGTTCTCATTTAGTTCTCATTTTGCAAGTTGGAGTAGTGTTGAAGATCAGTCAGACAGAGGTGTCTGAAGACTTAAAATGGGGATCTTATTTCTAAAGTTGTTGTTAAGTCTAATTCAGGTTGTTTTTGTTAGTATTGAACACAGTCAATTGGGTTGATTTCTCTGTCGAAACTTTTAGTGGTAAATGTTCTTGTTTTTAAAAACAATGTCTGTGTATATGTGTGTTACACATCACTGTGTTTGCATTTTTTGCAGTAGTTCCTCTCTAAGCACTTTTTGGAGTTCCTGTTTTCACAACAAGCTTAACATAGTGGTAGTTTCAGCAGATTTTAATTCCAAATACAGAATACTAGCTGACAATTTGGCACTGCTTTGTGTTTTTTGGGGTGACACTGCAATTCTGTAACCTTCAGTGAAAGCAAATTCTGAAATGTTTTACTTGTCAAGGTCACAGGAGTCTCCTTTCCACGGTGAAGAAAAGAGACAATGGTTTCGGCTGTAATTTTAATGTTCCAAAACGCCACATCTTTTCATTTACACCTTTTGAAGCCAAGGCTAGAGAAGCGGGGTTTGATCTAGGTGTAGGGAGTAGAAATGATAAAGAAGTAGGAAAGGTGGCGTGGGAGAATGGCAAATAACACGTTCTGGTGATTTCCCTAGTTTCTCATTGTTCCAGCCATTGTGGGTAGCACCCTTCTCCACCGACTCTCTGATGATCAATGGGAAAAGATAACAGCATGGATGTACGGCATTGGCCTGTGTGCGCTCTTCATCGTTTCTACGGTGTTTCACATAATTTCTTGGAAAAAGAGTCATTTAAGGTACAAAGTGAATATTGTGTTGTTTTTTCTTTATATTGCAAAGGCCGAAAGTCTCCTTATGTTCTTCATTTTTCTCTTTCTGTTTCCCAGCAGTGGTGGGAAAGCCACCCTCATTGCTCGATTCTTCTCTTGATCCAGGGCAAACACCATGGTCAACAGTCTGGGGCCCTTCCACACAGCCGTATAACCCAGAATATCAAGGCAGAAAACCCCCACAATATCTGCTTTGAATTGGGACCCCTTCCACACATCTGAATAAAATCCCACGTTATCTGTTTTGAACTGGGATTTATTTATTTATTTATTTACTCTATTTTTATCCTGCCCATATCAGCCAGAAGGCGACTCAGGGCAGCCGACAGTCGGCACAATTCGATGCCATATATAAAATACATACATTAATAAAAAATAAAGACATCACAAGCATTTAAAACATAACAACAGTGAGCAATAAAAATTAGAACTATGTCTTCATGTTCAGTCCTCATCCGTTCCATCGTCATAGCCGTTCCTCGGTCATTTTCCGATTCAAGTTTGTCTAAGTTATACTGAGGTTCCAAAGGCTTGCTCGAAAAGCCATGTTTTCAGTTTTTTTCAAAAGGTCAGGAGGGAGGATGCCGATCTAATATCCCTAGGTAGGGAGCTTCATAGCCGAGGAGTCACCACAGAGAAGTGGCACGTCTCGTCCCCGCCAGACGTGCTTGTGAAGCAGGAGGGATTGAGAGAAGGGCCTCCTCCGATGATCTCAAGTCCCTGGTGGGTTCATAGGGAGAGACGCGTTCGGATAGATAAGCTGGGCCAGAACCGTTTAGGGCAGTGTGGACTCAGATAACCCAGTTCAAAGCTGATATTGTGGGAATTTCTGACTTGATATTCTGGGTTATATGGCTGTGTGGAAGGGCCCTGGGATATCTCAGTTCACAGTGCTATATATTCCAGTTCAAATCAGTAAATATGGGATTTTTTCAGCTGTGTGGAAGAGACCTAGATTGAATCATAGAATAGTAATAGTTGATCGAGACCACATGGGCCATCTAATCCAATTCCCTCGCGTGCTGGAAAAGCACAATCAAAGCACCCCGACAGATGCCTGGGTTTTCTCCGCAAATGTAACACACATTACTACCCACTGCATCCTACTTGTAGTAACAAGCAAGTGACCCACGTATCAGTAGTATCATATACATCTTATTTGGGTCTTTCACCTTATTGAGTAGGAAGCCCTGTTCTTTTTTAATGGATCCATTTGTCTCTCACCATCCTCTTTGTTCACTGTCTTCTCTCTAGAATTAACCAAACAGTTGCAGATCCCATTGGATTGCTGTATGTGTACTTCCCATTCATATTCCTGTAATAAACCACATAACAGTTGACTCCCCACATTTTCTCTGGTTAAGGGCACAGGACCCCTGCAAAAGTGGGAAAGCAACAAATAAAAAATTCTGTATTTTTTACTTGAAGGAACACTTGTCTAGGAATCTCTAGGTCCTCCGGTGAATGGTTGCTGAAAGTTGACCATAGAATCATGTTGGGAGACCTACAAATGCATAGAAGAGTGTTGAAACTCTTAAGTCCTCCAGTGTAAATCTATGATTAAAGTTAACCACGTGGTTCTGGAGGACCCAGAGAATCCTAGAGAGAATGTATTAATCAAATCCTCAAAAGTGAGATGTGGAGCTTCTCTGAAGTCTTCTTGGGGCAATGGTCAACAGCATAAAGCCAACACTGGTACAGTATTGCAGATGACAGTAATTGAAATATAGTCATCAATACTTTAAAATAATTTATCACAACCCGCAACAGTAAAGCAGTGAATCAGCAGTATATCCAGTAAAGCTATCTCAATTAGAAGTCATTTGGAATAGATAAGGCTTCAGGGGCTTTCTGAAAATAGAGACTGAAGAGCTCACTCATACATTTCATGATTAAACTTCTTGGAGATTGAATATGACTCAAGGGAAATGAAACATCCTTGAAGTCATCAAACTCTGGCCTGAACCTATTTCTAGTTTTCAGACTGGAAACTCATGACTGCAAATGCCTTTGGCAATGTAAGCAAGTCTGCAACTGACCCAGGATTCGGTTACTGCTGTTGATGCCGAGTTCTGGCTGTTTAACTGCCAAAAACTATGACAAGGCGGGATTCGTTTTGCAAACTAGTTTAATAGCACCACTGTAAAACAATGAAAATTTAGTATTATAACCACAAGACTGAAGAGCAGTGTGATACATTGTCATCCCCTGCCCATCAGTATTCATGCATATGCACCAGACACCGTTCTCTTCTAATTTGCCACATCCCTGAGTTGAATTGCTAAGATACTTTCAGTAGAATATGTTTTAGATCTTTTCCTCCAAACTGATATTACATCCTGCTTAAGATGTAGATATTTATCTAAAGGACTAGATACGTTCTGCTTCTGAATTGTTTAAAGGTAGTCTTTTTGGAGGAAGAATATTTCCATATTTAACACTTATTTTACTGAATTTTCACGTCACATTAGAGCTATCAAATGTGCCCAGAGTCATATATTTTTGAGGAATAAGAAACTCACAGACAGAGAAGAAAAACAACATTGCATGGTAATTTTGAGTTGCAAAATTCTTGTGAGGGTGTATTCTTGCTCAGTAAGGTCAAGCAAGCTCCCTGTGTTATTGAAATGCAGGGCCAGTTCGATTTTTGCTTGCCATGATGGTCTTTACATCATCTCAATAGCTCAGTATTCATAGCCTCCAGATCGGAGATGAACTTTTTTCTGCCTTTTCCTTTAGGACAATGGAGCACTGTTTCCATATGTGTGACCGAGTGATGATCTATATCTTCATTGCAGCATCGTATGCACCATGGTAAGGATTAAAATATGTACTTTGATGGGGGGCCCTGGTGGCACAGTGGGTTAAACCACTGAGCTGCTGAACTTGCAAATCTGGGGAGCGGGGTGAGATTCCATTGTTAGCCCCAGCTTCTGCCAACCTAGCAGTTTGAAAACATGCAAATGTGAGTAGATCAATAGGTACCACTCCTGCGGAAAGGTAACAGTGCTCCATGCAGTCATGCCAGCCACATGAACTTGGAGGCGTCTACGGACAACGCTGGCTCTTCGGCTTAGAAATGGAGATGAGCACCACCCCCCAGAGTCGGACACGACTCGAATTAACATCAGGGAAAAACCTTTACCTTTACTTCAAGGTTTAAAATATATTTTAATAGTTAAAATTGCAAGGACATATATTCTCTATAGTCATGCATAAGTTTAGAAATTTGAGTCAAAAAATGAACCCACAAAACCTGTGTTGACTTATCTGCTCTTATCAAAGAAGGACACATCTGCTTGTCTGAGTACAGGGAGAAAGGCAAAAATCAAAAGAAGCATTGACCTGCTGTGATGCCACTTCTGGCTTTTTTAAATGCCTGGGCGGAGAAATGGCAGCGGCGGCCAGGGATGGCTGGCCCCCTAAGCAGCTTTCATTCTTTCCCCCCTTCGCAAAATGACCTTAAATGTATCCACGGGTCATATCAAAATCCATAATTTTGGCTCCAAAACCTGCCCTTGAAATTTACATGGGATTGACTTATGTATTTCAACCAATTCCGTTTTCTGATAACGGTCCAATCCCTAACCATCAGATAAGCGGGCACTTCTTGTACTTAGAAGCATGACTCCTTTGCAGACTTAATAGATCATGGCCTAATCTGCTTGGGTGAGAAGAAATCTTTTTTCCCCATTTAATAAATCCAGGCTTTGATCTTTTGCGTATTTCTGTTTATGTGGCTGTGCAGTGCTTACACCTCTGGATGAGGGCCATGGAGTTTAATAACGTGGCCTTTCATTGACTTTGCCCTTTCTGTTTTTCCCCAAGTACCAGTGTGAACATACTTCAGTTAACAAAGTAGACATGTCCTTGGGCTTTACTTTAACACCAACCTTGATACCAGAGGCATGGAAAGAAAAGGAATACGTTCCTACACTACAAACAAGAAGAGCCGTTCAACATGTTTCATAGAATCATAGAATTGAAAAAGATCTTAGTGTCCTCATGGACAACAAGTTAGAAAGGAGCCAACAGTGCCATAGAGCGGCAAAAAAGACCAATGGGATTTTGGCCTGCATAAATAGTGTAGTGTCTAGATCCAGGGAGGTCGTGCTACCCCTCTAATCTGCCTTGGTCAGACCACACCTGGAATACAGTGTCCAACTCCCTGCCAAGAAGCAGGAAAATCTCACTCAAAGCACCCCCAACAGATGGCCATCTAGCCTCTGTTTAAAAGCCTCCAAAGGAGCCTCCACCACACTCCAGGGCAGAGAGTTCCACTGCTGAACAGCTCACACAGTCAGGAAGTTCTTTCTAATGTTCAGGTGGAATCTCCTTTCCTGTAGGTTGAAGCAATTGTTCTGCGTCCTAGTCTCTAGGGCAGCAGAAAACAAGCCTGTTCCCTCCTTCCTATGACTTCCCCTCACATATTTATACATGGCCATCATCATGTCTCCTCTCAGTCTTCTCTTCTGAAGGCTAAACATGTCCAGCTCTTTCAGTTGCTCCTCATAAGGCTTGTTCTCCAGACCTTAATCATTTTAGTCACTCTCCTCTGGACACATTCCAGCTTGTCAACATCTCCTTTCAATTGTGGTGTCCAAAATTGGACACAGTATTCTAGGTGTGGTCTGACCAAGGCAGAATAGAGGGGTAGCAAGACTTCCCTGGATCTAGACACTAGACTCCTATTTATGCAGGCCAAAATCCTATTGGCTTTTTTGTCATTGCATGGCATTGTTGGCTCATGTTTAACTTGTTGTCCACAAGGACTTCAAGATCTTTTTCACATGTACTGTTATCGAGCTGAGCTGCTGAATTTGCTGACCGAAAGGTTGGCAGTTTGAATCGGGGGAGTGGGGGGAGATCCCGCTGTTAGGCCCAGTTTCTGGCAATCTAGCAGTTTGAAAACATGCAAATGTGAGATCAATAGGTGCCACTTCTGCAGGAAGGTAATGGCGCTCCGTGCATTCATGCCAGCCACATGACCTTGGAGGCATCTATGGACAACACCGGCTCTTCGGCTTAGAAATGGAGATGAGCAACCACCACCCCCAAAGTCGGACACAACAAAACTTAATGTCAGGGGAAATCTTTACCTTTACTAGGTATTTCTTAGGTTCTCCAAAGTAACTCTATACTATGCTTCCACTGGAAGTTCAGTGTAGAGCCATATTAGAAGACGTAGTGGTGTACCCTAAGGACTTGCTAGGTCCTCTGGTGTTATTCTGTGATACAGGTCTGCCAAAAGTAATTCATTCAATAGGATTCTCCATTATCTGCAATTTTCACTAAATGTAGTAAGTGCAAGATTTGGTGGTTGTACTGTATTTAGACAGGACACAACATGTTAATAGCTACTTTCTAATTGTCTGCACTGGGTGACTTGTGCAGTTTAACTGTCCCTTATTGCTATTTTGAAAACCACTAGGTTTGAGTCCTCTATATAGTACCAACTCACCATTCAAATCTTGATTTGGTTTGCCTTTTCTCTTTGGGATTAACAAACAGACCTCTGGCTAAAGTCTCTCTCAGGCTTTTTTCTCTATTTGGACTGATGTTAATCCTTTTGTTGTATCCGCAAATAGAATTCAAAAAAGTTATGGATATCCACTCAGTGCTTCAAAAGTCATCTTCATTTTGTTTTTAGGTTAAATCTTCGTGAGCTTGGACCACTGGCATCACATATGCGATGGTTTATCTGGCTCATGGCTGCTGGAGGAGCCATTTATGTATTTCTCTATCATGAAAAGTAAGAAACACAGTGATTACTTGAAATTACATCTTCCTACAAGTTGTTGCACTACAGCTATTACAATAGCTGTTGTTGCACTACAGCTATTACTAACTTTCACCATTTGCAGTGTTGGTTAAGGATGATAGGGGTTGCAGGGTAGCAATGTCTGGAGGGTAGCATGTGTTTCCATTTACACCAAGGTTTTTAATAAACACACTATCACAACACTATTGTTGTTATTCAGATCTGGAGCCTGTACAGTAGAGTCTCGCCTATCCAACATAAATGGGCCGCCAGAACATTGGATAAGCGAAAATGTTGGATAATGAGAAGGGATTAAGGAATAGCCTATTAAATGTCAAATCACGTTATGATTTTACAAACTAAGCACCAGACATCATGTTTTACAACAAATTTACAGAAAAAAAAGTTAAATACACAGTAACATTATGTAGTAATTATTGTATTTACATATTTAGTACCAAAACATTGCAATGTATTGAAACAGCCGTGGATCCAGGTGGCATCCAGACTGCGTTGGATAATACAGAACGTTGGGTCAGGGAAGGATGGATAAGTGAGACCGCACTGTAGTTAAATATATGAATATGAAGTGTATTGTGTTTGATTATTTATTACATGCAGATTTTTTATGTATTTGAAATAGGAGCAGAAAGTCATGTTACTCTTTTCCTAGCTAAAAGAAACCAATTTTAACTTTAAAATACTCTCTTATTTCTCTTGAGAAATAAGAGAACTCTTTTGCTCAGCTATTAAATTAACCTTTTCCAACTGTCTCTCAGCACGCTATCACCAGGCACATAACCACCATCGAGAAAATAACGGTGTCTTGCTTTTTGAGATTTCCTTTTGATAAATAATTCAATCAGCATTTAATATGAGTGGGCGAGAAGAGCCTGCTTTTCTGACAGAGAAACAAAATTTGTTCCTGTAGTCCATCTTCTTTTCCACTGAATGGAGCCAGACTGCACACTTCTGTTATTTGATCTCATTTCTACAGAGACTAATGTGTGTTTAAATAAACTAAAACCGTGCAAGGAGGAGGAAAGCAAATTTTGATTTATTCTTGTCTGTTTTTTTCCTTCATTAGCCATGTTGTCTTTCTTTTTTCCTTATTTCCCTCCCTATTACAAGCTGAAGAAAAGCTACTCCTCAGCCTGTTGGCATGCTGTTATAAGATTGTGTGTGTGTGTGCCTCGACTACAGACATGTTGTATCATTAGGGAAGAAAGACATCTCTTTGAGTATCAGTGGGTATTTATCATCCTTTAGCAATTGATAACTGGAAGGTGAATCAACTGAAACCTTTTCCCATTTTTTAGAGGCCCAATGCAATAAAAACAAATAGACAATCAAGGTGTATTACACGTATTCTGTTTGAGAAGAATTATAATATTTTGCTAGATACAATTCAGATATGCCCAGAATTATATGTGAACTAAGAAAACACACACCATAGGTTTCTCACATATATCTATGTATTTATTTTGTAGGTACAAAATTGTGGAGCTCTTCTTCTACCTGGCAATGGGCTTTTCTCCTGCTCTAGTTGTGACCTCCATGGTGAGTGATGGGTGTTAATTTATAATGTTCAAAATGTACATTTTAAGCAATTTTTGACAGTTACATTAGTGATCATTACAGTACAAACTCCCATATACTGGCTTAATAGCAAACCCTATTAAACTACCAGCTTCTGGTGGGAGCATATCATAGGATCATTCCAGATGACCTAGGAAATGTGTAGAGTGGACACCTCTATCACTGGTATGTCCTTCAACTCAACTCTGTGATCAACATCTGGCAAAAGCATGCTATAAAATCATCATGAGGACTAGAAAATGCTTAGGAAGGAGATATTTTGTCAAATGCAGATAAATGAAAATGCAGGTTTGGGTCCTGAGGATACAGGGTTAATGACTGTAGATGAGCCTACAAATGCAAGTGGAGCTTATCTGGCCCATTGACGCTCACTAAGAGATTGATTCCCAATCTGTGGTCCATGGACCACCAGTGGTCCGCAAGAACTGTTACTACAACCTTGCAACAAGAGCGACTGGTCTCTGGAAAAACTCTTATCGTGTCAAGACTTATTAAATATGATTTTTTGTAGGCGAGCAGATGTCGACTACTGAATGACATCTGTTCTGTATCAAAAACTAGAGCTGTGGTCTATCCAATGCAATGTGGTCTATCCAATGCAATTTTCTGAATCAGCACCCCAAATAACCAAACCAAATCTAAAGTTGACCAAAAACTGATTCGTAACCCTTTTGGTACTAATGTTTGAGAGTGGTCCCTGGTCAAAAAAAAGGTTGGGAACCACAGCAGTAAGGTCACAGAGAGGGCATGGAGGTCTCTCTTGTCGTTTTCACGCCAGTACCTCATGTTCCTAGTACACGGAGGCCCAAAGGCTTATGATATGAGCTATTGTGGCTTTTAATTATATGACTAATTAAATTGGGGTAGGGTATTAAAGATTGTTCCACTTGTAGTAAAAGGTATAAGCTAATATTTTGAATATTGGTTGAATGCAGAGTTCTGCACTACGTCCACTGTATTCATAATCACCATTGTCTGGCACTTTTATGAACCAAATTATATTTTGTGTGCTGATGCACAATGTGATTTCAGGTCACTCTTTTTAAACCCCAGAATTTGCTTCCCAATTTTACTCATTTCAATAGATAGATGTGGGAGGGATATATTAAAAGTATTAATAATAATAACAGCCTTGCAGTATTTCATTCAATTATTTTTAACTACATCCTCTTAAAGAGTTATTGCTAGATTGCCCTCAGGCAAAGCACTGTGTACCAGTGTGAAGCAGAGAGAAAACAGGCTGCCTTTTGAAAAGACAAGGCACAATGGCTCCCATGTGCTTTTTATCTGATATAAACTCAGTCTTGTCCCTGGAGGGAATGGTTTCTCCTTGGCTTTTAAGTAGCCTATTTTTATAATGTTAACAAAGCACCCCAGTCAGTCAGATACTCAAAGAAAATACAATTAATTTCACTCTGGCATATCCAATTAAATTTCCATTAGGATATAGTAAGGGTTTTCTTTGGACTTTACAAGGCCATCCTTCTGGCACTTATTTGAATTTGACCCATGAAAGAGAAGAAGTCATTTGGGAGAGGAGAGAATGATGCCAGAGAAGCCTCAAAAATTGATACCCAAAATAGAGCATCAAAATGATGGGGCAACGTCCCTGACAGAGAAGGCAGAGCCATTTGATGCTTCCTAAGTTTAGAGAGAGGAGGGAAGGGCACAGCTAAGGGGGAACAAAATGGTTTTATAAGACTTTCTAAATGCAGTAGGGCAAAAAGACAGAGAGAAGCTTCTCCTTCTTTAATGATGCCCAGTGAAACTGATTGACAGTAATTTCAGGGAGCACATTTTGCTCAGTGTGCAGTTACCTTTGGGATACATTGCTGCAGAGTGTGGTAAGGGCAATTAGATGGCTTCAAAAAAGAGACTAGACTTATTTTCCAGGAATGTGTCTGTTATGATATTGTAAAGTTCCAGCTCTGTATTCAGAATCAGCATTCTATCAAATGCCAGATGTTGCAATGCAGACAAATAGTTGATCATGTTCACTCGTGACCTTCCTTGAGTATTTCACCATCCACCTGGAACTATGTGGTACCTGGACTTCATTTGGCACAGTATTGGTGACATATAATTGTTTCTAGCTAGTGTTTGCCAGTACAGTAGAGTCTCGCTTATCCAACCTTTGCTTATCCAGCATTCTGTATTATCCAGTGTTCCTTGGCTGCCTCCGGCTTGGAATAATCACATCAAGGCCCTTCCTCAGAGAATTGCAACGAGGCTCCCCTTCCTTCCTTCCTTCCTTCCTTCCTTCCTTCCTTCCTTCCTTCCTTCCTTCCTTCCTTCCTTCCTTCCTCCCTCCCTCCCTCCCTCCCTCCCTCCCTCCCTCCCTCCCTTCCGTCTCTGGCTCCTGCTCCAGACTCCACTTCCCTCCTTGCTATCTCCTTCCTCCTTAGGGCTCGCATTCAGCCCAGGAGAGGCTTCAGGGAAGTGACCTCTGCGCAGGTAAAGGGGGAGCCCCGACGAGGCTGCCCACTTCCATGGCTGCGCCAACGGCCTTGCTCTCTGGCGCTCTTGACCTTGGCATCCATCCTTGCCTTGCTCCCCACCGAAGCCCCAGCCTGGTTCTCTCTCTCTTTTTAGCAGTGGAAATGTTTGCTTTAGGGAATAGGGAAGGAAAAGCAAGCAAGCAAGCAACCAGGCACTGAAGGCGGGAGGCAAGTAAGGGGGGTCATGTGCAGGAGGAGCCTAGGAGTGATGTCAAAAGCCCCCACTCTCTCCGTCCTGCTTTTACTTGGGTTTAATAGGTTTTTCTTTAATCCCTCCATATTATAAGAGATTTTCAGTTATCCAACTTTCTGGCAGCCCCTTTAATGTCAGATAAGCGAGACTCTACTGTGTATGCAATTTCAACGGAAATGGTACTACTGTGATATGATCAGTTGTTCAGTTGGCATCCTTTTCTCAAAAGGTTTTTTTTTTTTTGTATTTCTGTTAATCCACAGAACAACACCGATGGACTACAGGAAGTTGCCTGGGGAGGTCTCATTTATTGCATGGGGGTGATATTCTTCAAGTGTGACGGGGTCATTCCCTTCGCCCATGCCATCTGGCACCTATTCGTTGCCACAGCTGCTGCAGTTCACTATTACGCTATCTGGAAGTATCTTTACAAGAGCCCTGCCGACATCATCCGTCACTTGTGATATTAAACACTCACGGACACACACACACACCTGTAACCTGCACTATGCCTCCGACTCAGTATTACACGTATAAAAGAAATTCTGGGGAAGAGGGAGGAAATATTGCACAGGGAGAAAAGCACTGACTTTGTTTTCTGAACACATTTACTGTGAACTGAAATGACAAAAACATGTGTCCTAGAATTACTGTTTGTATATCAAGTGCTTGGCACACAGTTCTCCAAGCACTTTTCCTCGGGCAGCCCTTATTGGAATAAATAGGACAAATGCAAGTAGAGCATTACACAGCTCCTATTCATTTCAGCCTGTCTTGCACAGAAACATTTCCTTCTTGTATTATATCCACTAAGAAAGTGAAGGCTGTATTCAGCATGCCTAACTTTGAATTGTGGTTCAAACCATCATGCTGCATTATCAATAATCCATTCCACATTAACAGGGAAAACAGTGTAAAAAATTGGCTAGTGGCCTGATGTTTACAAATTCTTTGGGTTTTTTTTTAAAGAAATATATTTAATGAGTTTCATTTCTGCAACTTCAAATGACAAACTTTTTAAAATGCCAGTTTTGAATTTTGGAAGTTGATGTAAAGCAAAGGCTTGGTTCCTTTTTTAAAAATAAAAGTTGCTTTCTATCACTTTTTCACACACTATTTAATAAAGTGACGATCATGGATAATGTTTTACTTTCCTCGCCACCCCCTTGCTGTGCTGCTGTGACTTTTATATATATATATATATAATCACAAACGTTTTTTAACAGTATTTTAAAAGTATACCCAGCTGCTGTTGTGCAGCTGTACCTGCATTGAAACTTTGCAAGAAAGAGTTACATTCCACATACTGTCTTGACGGATATACCTCTTTCAAAGGTTTTTGTGAAAACTGTGGTCAATAATGATGAATTTCACAATTGGCTTGGCTAAGCTTTAACCTATTATCCTAAACCATTGGTTCTCAACCTGTGGGTCCTCAGATGTTTTGGCCTTCAACTCCCAGAAATCCTAACAGCTGGTAAACTGGCTGGTATTTTGGGAAGTTGTAGGCCAAAACACCTGGGCACCCACAAGCTGAGAACTACTGTCCTAAACAGTAACCTGAATTACCTAATCTAGGTTTCTTTAAGGCAGTGGTTCCCAACCTGTGGGTCCCTTGGTGTTTTGGCCTACAACTCCCAGAAATCCAGCCAGTTTACCAGCTGTAAGGATTTCTGGGAGTTGAAAGCCAAAACATCTGGGTACCCACAGGTTGAGAACCACTGCTTTAAGGGCACAGGCAGTGCTAGATAACACCTGAATCCATTACACAATGCAATTTCTAGAGGCAGTTGCATGTGTTGATGGGAACGCACTCCAGAAATGTTGGCTCTACTCATTCAGGTGGCCAGCAACTAACAGTTGCAAGATCTAAACTACTCTCAAGCAGCAGTAATGGTGTGCAAGACACTTTGGTGCTCAAATAATCAAACAGCACAATCCTAGGCATGTTTACTCAGAAATAAGTCTCCTTGTGTTTTGTGGGGCTTACTCCCTAGTAGGTATGTTTAGGATTGCATCCCTGCAGTGTTAAAGAGGTCTGGTTTTGGAAAATCATTCCTGTTGGCTGTAGCCTTGCTACTCCTACCATTTCTGAGAACGTAGCCTATAAAAGTTGCTGATAACCTTTGAGTATTAATAGTTAGGTTCATCATACACCCAAATGGCCTTTTCAGGGAGGGAAACTTAAAGGACTTGAGAGGTCTCATCAGTCTGGGACTTAAAAGTAGTCAAACTGGGCTTTAGATGTGCTGCTCCCTTAGCATCTCAGACAATGAAATGCTGTAGCAATTTGATTGTAGAAAATGTGCATTAAATAACAAGATGTTAGACTCCTCATTGTATTGATTGGTGTCCAGTTACTGTAGCATGTCCCACTGTACTATGAATGTCTTATATTAAGATTGAATTTATGCTTTTTCTAACTTGCTCTTTTTCATACCAGTGTTTTGAAAACTAAAATCGAACATGTTGCCTTTTTCAGATTTTATTCTGGATATTTTGCCTGTACAATAGAGGTGTAGAGGGAGGTACCCCTGGTAATATTTAAAGTTATGTAGACTTGCAAGTGGGTTGTTTATATCTCGAAGTGTGTGCATTTGTATCTGATGCAGGAAGAGAGAAATGTTCTGATGAGTCTAGAGCATCGAACCCCGACTTCCAATACAGTATTATCTGATGACCCTCATCGGAGACATTTTTAAGCTATTCAGAACTCAACAGCAGTACTGCACAAAGTGAGGGCCCTTGAGCCATTGCTTCCTGCTCCCTGGCAAGTTTCCAGAAATGAAAGAAACACTTTGAGCCGATGGGCACAAATATGGTGCTGGTCCATGGCATATTGGGTGACCGGGGGACGGGATGCCAGTCTGGGGCAATACAGATTTATTTAATTGAATAGACCAATCGAATAATAAATAGCTTACACTTGACAGTCTTGGAACATCTGAATGCCTCAGTCATCTTTGTTGTCTCTCCCCTGCTCACTTTTTAAAAACAACAAACATGTCCAGCTTTGAATATCTCCTCTTTTTTCTGTGTTCTTGTATGCTGTTCCAGTCCAGAACTGTTAAGACCACTAAAATATATGTAAAGCTCTCTGCTTTTGTCAGAATTTATGAAACTTGCTCCAATTAATTCTGCTACTTTTATGGTGATCTATCATGGTCTTTTTAATGTGTTTGTTTTTAAAAGTGAAAGGTGTTTTGTTTTTCTTAAAAAAAACTAAACTCGCCAAAAATAATTGTAATTCAGTCTAGTCCCAAAGGTATCAATGTATTAGATTAATGCAAATAAACATTTTGTGCAATTTGAAGGCATGTTGGTGATTTCTCTATGTGTTGCTTTGATTTTAAGAGGCTTCATTCCTATTTGTCGCTCATGGTTGATACTAGGCATGGGCAATCCATGGTTCTAAATGGTTCTAGAGTACTGACAAAACTAGAGGGTGCTGGTGCTTTGCTTTTGAAGTGTTGCTAAAGTTCTGGTGGTGAAAATTTCAGAACTCTAACTTTCAAAATTTTATTATTTTGTTATTAGCGATTTTTATGACAGAACCAATTAGGAACTTCCCTTTATAATGAAATTTTGAAAGTTTTGTTAGAGTTCTGAAATTTCCACCACCAGAACTTTAGTAACACTTTAGAAGCAAAGCACCAGCACCCCCTAGTTTTGTGAGTACTTTAGAACCATGAATTTCCCATGCCTAGTTGATACACTGTGGCTGTAATCTAGACATCTAAACTACAGTACCGTGCTAGTGGGGCTCTTACTGTATTTAATCTCTCATTTTTGAAAAGTTCAGTTGTCCCCTTCTTAATATAAATAATTTAATTTAATATAAATGTAGACACTCACAGATGTGGTAGCCTTTTGCCTTTGACCAAGGAGCTAACTCAAATGTATAATAGGTGTTTAGGGATTTCCTCTCAGTTTTCAGGGGTCTTTATTTGCTTATAATAATAATAACTTTATTTTTATACCCCACCTCCATCTCCCCAAAGGGATTCGAGGCAGCTTACACATGGGACAAAATGTCCACAGAACATCAAAATGAAACAATCCCTTAAACATGATAAAAATAAAACATAGCGAAGCATAACAATCAAATAAAACACAACTAAATAAAACATAAAGGGATAAAACAGCAGCATTAAAACTCACTCAAATAATACACAACAAAAACCAATAGCCAGAATGCTAAGATGGACATGATCAGGGTATGAAGAGGACTGGACCTGGGAAAGTGCAAAACAGCGTAGTACAGGGCCGGGGGATTGGAAGAAGTGCAGAGAACAGAGTACTATCAGGTGAGCTAGGGACTGCGCATTTATAAGTAAGGACTAGTCACGTACTTTACTGTGTTGTGGTTTGGTTGTTGGACTAGGACTACTTGTTGGAGACCAGAATTCAAACCCTGTTATCAGAAGAAAGGCAATCCCACTCTGAAAAAACCTTACCAAGAAAACCTGTGATAGGTTTGCTTTAGGGTTGCCATAGGTCAAGACACAATTTAAGGCTACACAACATCAGATATACCTGTGGTGAAGCGCATATGCTTTCCACAAAGGCTTTGGGTTCCACGTGTCATCAGCTATAGCCAGAATTGCCAAAGGTCCCAAAGCACCGGAGGTCACTTGCTTAGAAAAGGCTGCTCCATTACATCTTTTACATGGGACTCTGAAAAGCACGTGTCAAACACAACTAAAGTATTTTTGAAACCACATCTTGAAGCCTGTTAAGAATACTGAGGAAATGTAAAACCACAAAAACTTTTGATATAAACAATTTTTTTGAAAAAGCTTCCATAATAGCAGCAGGCATCTTGAGTTGTTCCCATGGAAGACTGATTGTCACACTAAAGCAAGTTGTTTCCCTTGATAATGTTTTTTCTTGCGTAATGACTAATTGATAAATAATTTTCAGTTGACTCAGAACTATTTTTTCAAATGGTTTACACAAGTCAGATTTCTACATATCAGTGAAACCTGGCATATACTGTCACGATGAAGATGAATGTAGACACTCACAGACACGGTAGCCTTTTGCCTTTGACTAAGGAGCTAACTCAGTCATTTGTCTTTTGCAGAGTTTATAAAAAAGCACATATATACAAACAGATTCCAATTGTTCTCTTTGATCCACAAGCCTTGTAGAACTCCAGTCTCTTTCCACCAAACACACCGCCCTTCTCCAAACCTCTCCGACAACCCAGCTCCAACAACCCACAGCAAGGAGTAGTACTTTTGCTCCTTTATTCCCCTAGCAGCTATCCCACTCTGGCTGTAACCACACAATGTTAGCCAGGTGGCTTGTCTCTCACTCTCTGCTGCCTTGATCCTTGCACCACTTACAGCTTGTTGCTTAAGAAATTAACTCTTACATATACTCAGTTGAGAATGTGTGATAATTTTATCTAATAAACTTGACTGGTTATATGAAACGTTGCTGGAACATTCACAGATGGACCCAGGGGGTTTTCCCTTAGAAGGACTGGGCAAGATCTTGTATAGTCAGATGTAATTGCAATGCCAGCGCTATGTGGACATAGCTATGTCAGATCTTCCAACACCAAAAACCTAACTTTTCAGCTAAGTGGGAGTTTTTGAGTGCAGATAGATGCATTGGGAACTACCATCTGTAGAGCTTTCCCAGATATGGGGCACATTTGGAAGAGAAAGCTGAAAAGACCCTCCTTTAGCTCCTTCTGGAGCCCCCGGTGGCGCAGTGGGTTAAACCCCTGTGCCGGCAGGACTGAAGACCGACAGGTCGCCTCCCACAAGGATGATAAAAACATCAAATCATCCAGGCGTCCCCTGGGCAACGTCCTTGCAGATGGCCAATTCTCTCACACCAGAAGCGACTTGCAGTTTCTCAAGTCGCTCCTGACACGACAAAAAAAAAAAAAAAGCTCCTTCTGCAACTCTTTTTCTCAATGCACTGCTTAATCAGGAAAGGGCTACCAGTGGAGTTCCAGTGTGCCCCAGTCTGCAGTGACTTGGAAACCCTTTGGCTGAGGCATTGCCTGGCCAAAAAGTTAAGTTGGGAGCAGGTCACCTTTGGCCATTAAAGACCTTAAATGTGAATCCTAAAAGATACCAGATTATAAATCCAGTTTATGATTTCATAACGACTGCATATCATGCTACCCACTGTGTTCTTCCGCTAGCTACCTAAGCCAAACCTAGATTAAAAATAAGCAGCAGATGTTTGCAGAATGTACTGTTCGACACAGAGCTACTAATGGAAGCTCATATTTAAGATGTAATCCTCCAAACCAGACTTTTTCAGCCTTGCAGCAGTCCAGCGAAAGGGTTTCTGAGGCAACTCAGGTCAGGGCACTGGGAAGTGATGTCTGATACACACTCCTGGTTAAAGGGCATGTTGGGACAAGCAGATGAGGCAGGAGCCTATTTTGGATGTGCCCTGTGACTGGGAGAGTACTGGGCAGTCATTTCCCAGTGCCCTGACCTGTGTTGCCTTTGGTTGGGGTGCAGTGTTGAAAGCGACGGCTTTTGATGTTGGTGGGGGGCAGTGTCAACATAATCAGATGAAAGTACTTCGATGGAGCTCTCTTACACACTTTTACATGTTCCATATTCTCATGTTTTAAGTTCTGATCTGATAGATTAAAAGAGTAAGCTATTACAGCTTTAGCCAAGATGGACATAAAGAGCAAAAGAAGTGGAATAAAACACACTAGACAGACAAAAATTTGGATGGATTAAAAATTGGGCACAACTTTATAGGCTGCAGCTTTGGCAGCATTTAGCACTGCATGGAGTAAAGTGATGTTGGCCCTTAAGGGCAGATCTGAAACAATTGCCCCTAAGCTTAAGGTGCATCTTTTAAGCCCCAGGGCAAACTGCCCTTTTTGCACCCAAATGCACACAAAGTGAAAACTGTTACAAAGAGGAAACATCTGTTAACAGAAACATTAGGCAAGATGTGATGGCAGAAGTGAACCCCATCATTCTGGAACCCAAGTAGCTTTTGGTGAAAATCTCTTCCTGGCCTAGCTGACTGGTGACCAATCCTAGTTCAAAGTAATGCTTTAACATCAAGGATGTTAAAGGATTCAAGGATTTCGACTTTAAAATCCAACTTACTAATACCTTGAAAGATCTCTCCAGCTACTGTAAAGATAACCACCTGAAGCCCAACCCTGCAAAGACACACGTGTGTGCTTTCCATCTACGTAATCATGAAGCCAACAGGAAACTGAAGGTTACCTGGGAAGGCCAAGAGCTTGAACATTGTTCCTACTCTATCTCGGTGTCACCTTAGATCGAACACTAACATATAGGAAACACTGCTTGAACACCAAGCACAAAGTAGCT